CGTGATGCGGTAACAGACAGACAAAAATTCTAAAAACTATAGATTCGACCTCTGTATCGATAATAATGTCTATTTCAATAAGATTTTCCAAAAAATATTTAATGTACAGATTCGGCTTAGTTACAATTTTATTATATGTATAGATAATAATGGTGTACATTTTCAGAAAAATAGCAAAGAATAATTTATAGCAACACAATAAACCGTCACTTTTGCTTCTATTCTTATTACTAACTCTTCTTTGCTTCTGAGATTTTCATTTTTATGCCATAGTGATCTTTTATCTTTATTATTTTGTATAGACTATATAATATCATTATTACATTATGTACCATAGCCTATGTATATAATTCAGCTGAATGTAAATCATTGTGGCTCCTGTTAATAAAATATATAACCCTCATCAAAAATAATACTCTCATCATCAAATAAGGTTACAAAATATTATCGGCTGGCACCGACTTCGAAAATATCTGATTAGGTATCTATTCTAAATTAAAACCCCCGTTTAGTTATTTTTTACATTTTAGTGCCTGGAAATCGGTTTTTATTTAATTTTTTTAAATTTTTATAGCCTGATTTTTAGTATCAATAGTAAAAGCAAATTTTTAGTTCGGTTAGTTTTCATATTAAATTAGCATTAAACTAACTTAAATGACTTAAGCGAATATTTATTTAAAATACTCTCTTCTCACACTAAAAATGGAAAAATAAAAACTCAAAAAAATAAAAACGGACTTCCAGAAGCTAAAAAAAATAACTGGGATTTTTATTAACTATAGTTCTATATCAAATATTTTCAAAGTCAATGCGAGCCGACAATGACTTAAGACATGAATACTTAATAGGGAACTATGACAAGGTAAGAACTTTAATAATAGTTCAAATACTATACGTACATTTGTGAAATATACATATCCAAACAGATTTGCTTTTCTTTGCATCGGCCAACACCAATATAGAAAATATGTCATTAGGTATCTATGATATGATTATTTTCATTTTAGTTTTAATGTTAAAATATTAAATATGAATATTTACCTGACTGTGGAGAAGTCCATAAGAGGATGTGTTTGATCTGTATGTATGTGTGTCCGATTCTATGTTTGCTCGTAATTTATACTACACGCCTTAACTGATTTATTATTAAAAATCAATATTTGATTTAGTACAAAAATCTAGATATTATTTAGAATCAAAATGGCGGATTTCAGGTACCGTATGTGTTTAAAAAAAAAATCTTCTAAACCTATCGAGATTAGAATTAAATTGGTAAGACAAACTCAAATTGCCTAACCGGCCAAAATTAATAACCTGTTAATTAAAAAACAAAAACCCCGACTGCGTAAAAATTTTACTTAAAAGATGGAAATAATTTTAAATAAAACTATCTTTTCGGATTATTTCACGGATTTATTTTGATTTTTGGTTTCGGTGGACGTTTCGAATGCTTTACAGCATCCATGGTCACGGGAGAGACTGAGGTGTTACATGTCTCGAGGGTATAGTTGTTACAGACAGCCTACCCACAATTAACAAAATAAAAATTGCACCAATTACCTTACAATATTTTTTAACTTTAAACATTTTTATAAATAATTTTTAACTTTAAAATTATAAAAATGCGTCTTCGAGTAATCGGTGAACATATATTAAAAATAAAAAAATTTAACATATATTAAAATTCCGACGACTTGAGAACCTCCTCCTTTTTGGAAGTGGGTAAAATAGTTAAATGTATTCGTTTACTCTTATTCTTCCCAATATAGCGTTGTATAATACAACTATTTACTCAAGGGCCAAACATTAATTCTTATCGCTGGTGCTTCTATGGTCATTTTTCACGTCTCCTCTTGACTTAACCTACAGAGAGATGGATAAAATAATATATACTTTTAACTATACTTGTATTCGATAATATTATAAGTACCATATATTCAATAAAATATTTGTGTTAAAACTCACTTTTTAACTAAATTACACTATACTATAGTCTATACTAATATTATAAAGTGGTAAAGTTTGTAAGTTTTTGATGTTGTAGGTGGTAATCTCTGGATCTACTGAACCGATTTAGATGAAATTTGGTAAGAAGATAGTTTGAGACCCTGGGAAGGACATAGAATACTTTTTATTCCGGAAATCAAGGGGGTGAAAATCGGGATGAAAATTTGTATGGGGATTCAACAGTAATTAATAATTACAAAGTATGAGAGGTATCTAGATTACTTACTCATTCACTCTTACTCAATTAAAGAATGTTTAAATTTAAAAAATATAGCGCAATCCATTTTTATTCATCTATGAATATTTTTTACAAATTACTACCGCTTTAGAGATGCAATATCCAAAGTTAATTTTGTGTTATTAACAAGCACAAAAATGTAAATTTTTCAATAGCCATTCTGTGGAGAGATAAAATGTTTTATGAATAAACCACGAATTCATTAAGGGTTGATTGATTTTAGCTTAAAATTTATTTATTGAAAAAATATGTAAAATTTAAAGCCTAGGTGCAAAAAGCTAGGTGCAGGTCATAAAATTTAATTTTTTTTTCACAAGAAATTTTCTAAGAATATTCATATTAGGTAATACTTTTCACATATTTACACATTCACTATATATGCTATAAGTAACCCTCGACACAAAAAAAGTAAAAAAATAAAGTTTCTCTCTTGGCCTTTTCACTTCATTAAAAGTAACAAAAAAACGCATCAAAATCAGTCCATTCGCTTAGGAGCTACGGTGCCACAGACAGACAGATACACATACACAACAATACAAACAGACACTTCAAACCTATAACACCCTTCTTTTTGCGTTGGGGTTAAAAAGCAAAGGTCTTATTGTTAAAGTAAGAATTTAAAAATATCTATTATTATATATTTATTATTAGTACCTTAGTACAATTTAGTTATTGATTTGTATTATGTTTTTTCAAGGTATAAAGTTTTAGGTTTTTGGTATTGATATACATACATACATGAATTTTTGTATATCAATAGCTTTTGGTAACTATTACTTCATGTTAACTAATAACTTCATATAGGAACTTGCAAAACCAAGCAACTTCAATTATATATAGCAACTTAACTTTATTTTAGAACTGCTTTTGCTGGAAAAGTCTGTACGTTCATTTTTCTCAGCTTCCATATCTCGACACTGTCGTAGAACAAAATCGGATCTACAAAATAGCTACTTTACAGGAGAGCAGTTTAAAGTTTTGAAGTCACATTTTTTACCATAACTTTTCTCCTATTTAATTAACTGAAAAAATATTTAGAAATAGCTTTTTGTCTTTTATTAAGAGTTATTACTAGATAATAATAATAACATTTTATTTATAAAATAAAAAAAATGTGTTTGTATATTATAATCCGACGTTATATTACGTAACTTAAAAATCTGGATAAATTAAAAATTACGTAGGTTCTAAAAAAACGTTTTATTGCTTATACACAAGGTATATCTATATAAATATAGAAATGAAAAATATAACCAACCATTATTTTTTTATCCAAAATACAATTTCAAAATTGCACAAACAAGGAATAAATCAAATTAAAAAAATCTTGTCGGTTAAACTCTTAATACTAATGGTGCGACTCGTTTATGATCAGTCTCAATAAGTAACCAAATAAATCAGTCAAATCACAAAATTTCAAATTACTAAAAATCTAAAACTCTTCAACAAACATACTATCTCTCTCTCTCTCTCTCTCTCAGAATCGGGATCTCAGAAATAATAACATTTTAAATAACTTTATCAACAACAGATATGAGTAGGTCTTTACCCATAAATAATTATTAGATAAATATTAAATATAAGTTAATGTTCACACTAGGAATATGATTGAGCATGTACTTAATATTCACTTCACAATAAAAAATAAAATAAAAATTTCCAAAACTAGTAATAACACAAAATACTTCTCTTCAAAATTGTCTCAGATCTGTTTACATCCTACATAAATATTTCGTTTTAAAATAATGTATTTTCATTAACAAAACTATTAAATAAAATGAAATGTCATTAGACATTTCATTTTATTTAGACAGATTAATTTAATAATTAACAAAATAATGAAAAAAATCACTCATCATCAAAAGGTAGGGATTTCAAATAAATGCTATGTTCAGAAATGATTACACCGGTTTTGCACATGTGAAGAAGATCATTATATTTATCTTTCGATATTTTATACAAGCTGTTAGAAATAGGTTTTAAATCAGGTAGAGCTGATGATGAGTTTGTGGTTCTAGATCCAAATGACCAGACATATTATAACCACTTTCATTGAGATCATATGTATAATATAATTAAGTGGGATCTTTTTCTTGACATGGACTTCCTTTATCTGATTCCATAGAATTTTCTATGAAATCCTAAATTAAAGTGTTTGGAAACAATATCTCTGTATTGACGTTCGGTTAAAGCTCTCATAACATATTTGTAGGATTAAGACATTCTTTGTATAATAGTATATAATATACATCCAATACTACTATTACCGTCCAAGTATAGCTTGATCGATCTCTTCCTAACGTAATAAGACAAAAGAATTGACGTGATCGTAGACACTTTTTTTCGCTTTCAGAAGAAGAAGCTGTTGGCAAGTTGTACTTATAAGTAAATTTACGTAAATTAGGTTGATGTGTGCTAAGACATCGATGCTTCTTTACTTCTAAACAAAATTTAACCACAAACCCCCACTGTTTCTATTTATTACCAAGACCCCAAAACCTTTTGAAACTATATTGTTTTAAAAGGTTTTGGAGTCTAGTCTTTGCTCATTAGTAATTTTCTCACTACATTTATAACGCATACCCATAACCTTTTCATCAACAATTTTACCCCTCTTTGACACATATTTTTACCTGAATTCGTTAAGCATTTATATTTTACATCGGAACATGATTCTCTATTTTTGTTCGTTTTATTCGTCCTGGAGACAGTACTGAATTGGTATCTTATTCAGAAAAAGAACTTAGTCCACTTACAATACTAGTCGAAGATAGTACTGGACTATCCAGTGATCGTATAAAGCACAAAATAAGTCATTACATGTCTTGTGGCTATTAGTCGGTAATGGCATGGGAGTAAGAATTGTTAAGGGTGATTTAGGTGTACTGGCAACAACGTTTTCAAATTCTTCGATGACCACAGGAAAAGAAGCCTCAAATCTGGTGTTGGCATCTTCTATACCAAATGGTGTCAAGTCTTTAACTATATTTCGATCTTCATCGCCATCTGCAAATACTTTCTGCGCTACTTCCCTTAATTGGTTGACTATGATTTCCGCTCCAGGGGGTAATGGTGATTTTGGTTTTTCAACTCCAAGACCTGCAACATAGTAAAATATTTAAAGATATGTCTAACTAAAGCAAAAAAATCTCAAATAAAAAGGTCTAGTCATTTATATATCTATAATTAGCATTCAAACATGCTGAACAAAATCCTATATAATATTATGCCGAAGAACACAGTTCTCAATACGCTACATCAAAAATGTGTAAAATTTCCGAAGAACAACGCCGTAAGTATCCAAACAATCTGTATAATTGAAATGAGTTTGGGAGAAAAACGAAACTAGGAAACATACGACGTCAAAAATATCCAATACCATAACATAAGTAATTAAAGAATATAAATAAAGTACATAGAGAAAACATCATCAAAATATATTTTTATTAAATAAATTTATTTATTTTTCATTTCCGTAAAACATCGTCGGTTCTTAAGATACGACACGGATTTTGAATAATTCTATATAATAATAATGTTAGACAATCGTTTTTTAGTATGAAAAAAATAATAATAGGCGCTTATGTCCATAAAAGTAAATATTTATAAAAATGACTTACCTTCGTTGTCCGTATTTTCGATTAAATTACTTAAAATGCTGAAGTCGTGCCGGCGAAATAGTCACTTATTTCTTCATTATCTATCACTAACTTTGATATTTTTTATGACCGAGACATTTCTAGGCTGTTTTTGTATTAAAAACTTTAAAAATTAAAAAAAAACATTGTAATAATACGCTAATGTAGAATCTATCATGTGTTGTTCTTAAATATGACCGGCTTTCCGTCGAACATCATTGCTAGTGACGATCACCGCGCAGGGCGCGGCGCACGCGGAGCGATGACAACCGAGTGACAGTGGCGCTATTGAACTCGTGACGATTTTCATGGGAACAATTTTGAAATAATACTTTGTTCAATTGAATATTTCCGAAAGTACTACGAATATTTCAATTTTTCTTGAATATATTAATAGTTTATTATTAATTAAAGCTAATTCTGTAAAAAAATCAATTTCGTTGTAATATCATATCCGACATTGTTCTACGACAGTGTCGATCTTCTTTACTAGGTATTTATAAGCCCTAGTGGAATATCATTATTTTCTTCTGGATACAACTGTCATTCAGTACTGGCAAGCAACAGTGTCACATCCGTTGTGACGTTAAAATTAGTTCCTTAAAATTTATACAGCATCAATGAAAAACAACCAACACGATCGGCATTTGTGAGAGTAATCATACTTTCAAACGTACAGCATAATTTAAAATTCCACAAGTCTTTCAGGAAAAGCTCGTGAATATTTCCAACGACCTAAAAATCTCAATTTTTGATTATGATTTTAAAAAAGCAGTCTAGCAAACCGACGTGATTTAATATTTCTTCCTTATTAATCTACATAATAATATTTTTATGTCCATCAAGTATACTTGTTGCAAGAAAATCGTTAGATTGACGCCAGTTTTCAACCGACTTCAAAAAGGAGGAGGTTCTCAATTCGACTGTATGTTTTTTTTTATTTTTTTATGTTTGTTACCTCAGAACTCCGTCATTTATTTACCGATTTGGACAATTTTTGTGTCGTTTGAAAGGGTATACTTCCAGATTGGTCCCATTTAAATTTAAAAAAAAAATACCACCCCTAAGGGTGGAAAAACTACTAATGATGAATTTAACCTACTTCTAATTGTCATATTGACTTGAAACTTTGCAAGTATTTCTATTTCCGTTGATAGTACAGTGGTTCGGTGTTGTTGACCTGATCTGATGGCAAGGCCAGAAGGTGGATAGGTCGAACTCTTCAACGGCTATTAGTAGATACTTTGAGTTTAGGCTTATTTTGTTTGATTTGACAAGCCTAACACGTTAGAATCCTTACTTTTCTACTACTGTCTACACTAAAAAGGGAAAAATAAAAACTTTTTAACAAAAAAATAAAAACCGACTTCAAACAAAAGCACTAAAAAGTAAAAAATAACTGATTGGTAGTTTTCATTTACTATACATACCTAATCAAATATTTTCGAAGTCAGTGTGCTTTGGCTAAGTAATTAAAGCCTACCTATTAAATACATACCTAATCAAATATTTGTGAAATCGATGCCAGCCCATACAAAGCAAAGCACACCGACTTCGAAAATATTTGATTAGGTATGTATAGTAAATGAAAACTACCAATCAGTTATTTTTTACTTTTTAGTGCTTTTGTTTGAAGTCGGTGTTTATTTTTTTGTTATAAAGTTTTTATCAATAACCTATCTATCTGAAGTGTTCCTTACTTGAGATAGTTTGTCGTAAACTCCATACAAATTGCGTATATATGTCAAATATCTATCGCTAGAAAGGGAATGCAGCTAGATAAGATAGTGGATCTAAGTATTGTTAATGAGATATTGAAGACATTACAAAATATCGTGACATTTATTGCGTAAATATATTCTCTTATTTTAATGTGTTATTTAGCACTATTGTAATTATCTTATACAATTTTATCAATTTACGACTATCCCATAGTCGAAGAGAAACTATTATTATCTAGAACAGAGAATATCGTAGTCCCATTATCCATCTAACAAAATTCTATTTTTTACCACTTTTAGTTATATATTGGAATAAACACTGCGGTTTGGTTATTTTTAGATATATTCTCCAGATAACAGATTTCTTTATCAGATAGATACTTTTTAAACATTCTTCGCCATAACAACTTTACAATTGTTTTTTATCGAATTTATTTTTCTCATTAAACATTCTCACGCAACTATTGGTTGTTTAACTTTAAGCTTCAATCTAAAAAGGCTTCCTACTAATTGAAGTCCATTCCAACGTTATTAAACGTTATATAGATTTTTCTCAATCATTATATAAATTTTCATTAAAATTGTTCCTCAATAGCTAATTAATAGCTGTGAAGTTTATATTTGAATTCACTACTCAATCTTTTTCAGTTTTATAAAATATTACCCTTTAAAAGTTCTACTTCACATTTTTATAGAAATTCTATTTAATTAGATTCTGATTCAACTTATCTTGCAGAATAATTCATTCGTAAACCTAACATATTGACTTGTAACGACGTAGCGAAACAGCCGGAAACCTTAATGCGACTTTGAAAGTTGCTAACTAATTAAAACTTTAGCACCTCTTGGCTTGGCTTGAGCTGCCGACACGGCGTTTAGCCTGGCTTCACTCAAATTAGTCCAAGTTATGTTTGAACCATTCACCGAAATTATAGCTCGTTGCCCGTCAACAATGTTGTTACATTTTAACTCTTACAAAGTAAGATACATACCTATAGTATTTGATAATTTGAGTTAAATACGTGAAGTTTAAAGGAGTATTGTAGATGTTCTTTAACGTAGGGTACAGTTTTTTTTATAATTTCTCTTACTTATTCCTTAAATAAGGAAAATTTTAGTTACGCTGGTATCTAAATTTTATACCATATACATAATCTTTAAGCCATATTTCGATCTAGTAACTCAACCCTACTTCTCTTCGGGTTCGTCCCTAGACAAACACAAATCTATCCCAAGGGAACCCTACATTTTTTCGGGATAAAAAGTAATCTATGTGCTATTCCAGACTAAAATCTATCTCTGTGTTTTTCATCCAGACCCGTTCAACCGTTCTGGCGTGAAAGAGTAACAAAAATCTATCCATCCTCACAAACTTTTACATTTAATGTATATAATAATATTAGTAAAGATACAATTTTAAAACACTAAATAAGCTTTTAACCTTTAATCGGACTCGTCAAAACGAGCAAAATTATTTTAAACTCAATATTATTCAAAGTTTTACTAGTAGCAATTGAAATGTTACACTATTCATGGAGGCCTGCTTGATAATATCAAGTAATTACATTGTCTGTCCAAATTAAAGATTTTAATCAGTATGACAATCAAAAGTAGGTTAAAATAACCTTTCAAAATTTGATTAAATAGTTACAAAACTCCATAAGCTGTGAACCTAAAAGAAACTTGTTAAAAATGCCATCTATTACATCTAAGAACGGGTCCGTATAAACAATGTTAACATATTATAAAGTTAGTTTGAATGCACATACAAAGTCTATTACAATTTAGACGCATCCGGAACAACTCAGTGAACTGCAAAATACTAAGTGACAACACTATTTAGGCTTTATATATACAATCAGAGTACCTACTATTATAAATGGGAAAGTTTGTACGTGTGTATGACTTCTTCACGATGAAACACACTGGGCCGATTTGGCTGTTAGGTACTAGAGATAGGCGAGTAAGTCGCTGCATCGTGTTAAATAAAGATAAATTAATATTAAAAAACTTCATTTTTTAAATCTTTTTATAGTGTTGCCACAAACAAGTTGAATGAGCTCGTAAAATCTCTTGTTCTTAAGAAAGTTTTGAACTTGTTCAATAAAGAAAACTTCATAGTGCTGAAAATAATAGCTAAATTATAATTAAATAATTTGCAGAGTTTGAGTGACTTGCGTGGAGTGAAATTTCAATAATTTTTATTCTTATTAATGTTATAGAATATAAAATGCGTGTGTGCTTATTCCTCTTTCCCAGAAAAAATATTAATTTCATAAATGAGTCTGATTTAATTTAATATAAATAAAAATAAAGTTTATTTTTATTTTTTATGCATACTTAACTATATTTTTTTGTTTATTCGTATTCTTCCCAATCAATCCCTTTCATTTGATATCTATATCACGGGGTGATTAAAAAAACAGAGTCCGCCATGTTGGATTGAGAACGACAAACGTGTATGCAAAAAATCAAATTTAGTTGCAAGATTTGACACGAACAAACATTCATACAAACAATGCAAGTTATAAAAGCTTAACGTTGACATTTTCGTGTCAGTTGGAGGCTAGAAACCAATCTTTTGATTCAGTTCATATTTATACCGCCTTTATATCATCTGCTATTTTTATATTTGAACGCTATTATTATAGTAGGGGAGCCCAAGAGGGGATTTTGGGATTTACTCAAGCGCGGCAGATGAACATAAGGGGGACACCTTGCACTCTGTTGAGTACCTCCACCATATATAAATCCTCTGTACAAGGTCGCGCGTGTAACACTCCACGCAAATCTCTCAAACTCTGCAAATTAATTTCTGTTACCTTTTCATAGTAATTTAGTAATTACTATTTATTTACAGGATTTATTTAGAAATATAGTTTAAAATAGTTTTAAAACTATCTACATATAAAAGAGCTAAAAAAGTATAATAATTAATCCCATAGAAAAATTATACATAGGGTTTTGAAGTGTCCTATCACTAATATAATTCACATATTAATGTTATGTCATGCAGTTTGATTATAAACAGCGGTAACGGACTCTATTATTACAGTCACCATTCACATATTTTCTGATGGTCCAAACAATTGCGTTACAACTAATCCATACGTGTGTGAAAATTACGAGTGGATGTACGAGACCCTCAAGTCTGCTCCTTCAGCGTCCAACTAACAAAACCCAACAAAAAGGCAACAAACACGACAGAGTTAACAATAAATAGCAATATTGCATCGACTGGCATGTCAAGAGCTTGTCTGGGCTTCTACAGCAAATACCGCGCGACTGGGCTTAATAATTCTGAAAACAATTAAAAATAAGTATAAAATTTTCAAAAATATAGTGATGTTTTGTTAGACTCTAGTTTAACTATAACTCTTATTACATTTAAAATTTCTAAAACGTTTTACTTAAAAAGTAAGCCCGACATATTTTGTAATGACCAAATTTTAATAAAAATTTTAGATTTGTGCTCATACAAAAAATACTATGAAAAGCGCTTTCAGATTTTCCCGAATGTCCTAAATTTTCGAGTAACTGTTGTTCTAAGTTTCTCCCTAACAACTATTTCAAACATTTTTTATTTTCATTCAAAAAATAGCCGAATTGTCCTTGCCTTTCTCAAGTCTCTTATCAAAGCGGCGTATTTAATTTTTCTTAATATAGATTTTATTGAAATGTCAGGAATAATTATTATCATAATTTAATACCCAAGAGTAAACACAGTAAACCTAGTACTTCATCCATTTAAGATTTAATATTTTAAGTACAAAGATAAAATCATCATTGGAAATCTACCAACGTCGATCATACCGACACATGGTGATAGATGACTGTTGGTCTGTCAGACCGCAGCACTAATTGAAGCGAGCCAGTATATTGGAAAAAAACATAGCAAAACAATAGAAAAAGGTTTTTCTGAAAGCTCACGGTTGAATGATGATGCTTCCACACCATTTAT